TTGACATGAGAAACTATTTTTTTTAAAGAAGTCCTTTTAAAATCGAAGAACAACATTTAATAGTTTATTAAACAAAAAACAAAACTGCAATAATATCATCCATAATCCATCAAATGATTTACAATAATACAGCGTAACAAGTTTGTTTCAAATTATTATTTAAAAGAAAATTATCGAGCTCTTCTTAGACACATTTCAGTAATTGAAAATACCATTAATATAATAATAAATTAAAAATAAGAAAAACATAAATAGATAAATATAAATAAAAAATAAAATAAATATGAACGTATAAATATAAATAAATAAAATAAAATAAATCGTACCATGTTCCGTCTTCTTTCTGAAATTGCAGAGTATGTGAACCTAATTTCATGAAGAAATTTTATTTATCTACGAAAAAAGGAATATCGAGAGAAATACAGTCCCGGTTTCGAATAATGCAAAGTAACTGTTCTGAACAACATAAAGCTGCAACAACACAAATATCTGCAGATATTTTTCCAGTCCCCCATTCTATAAAAATGACAAAAGGCTGGCAGTAAAATGTGCGAAATATGCCACTTGTGCTCTGGCTCAACAATTCAGACTCATAATAACGACGTTACCGTACACAATGGACGTCGAAGTTCTATTATAAGTACTTACTCAGTTATGTCGAGCCGCTCAAGTGCAAGTTTCAAGTTTTTAATCGCCAGTCGTTTATTGTCCGCATCACGTCGTAACCTCTGTAGGCGTTCCTCGGTGGCTTTTCTGTCTGCCTCGGTCAAAGGTGGTGCACCGTTACGCAATGCCAATCGATTAGTTAGGCTGTTGCATAGCTGTCCTTTTAATCTGAAATCCAGAAAATAGCATACAACAACATGGTCGATTTTAAAAGCCATTTTAAAAATCCTTCAAGATAGTAATTTTCACTTCATTTAATCGGCTATTAAAGTAATTTTGATAATTGTGCTCATGTTTTGAATCTAATTATTGGTTGACTGTAACAAATAACTTTCATTAACTTTCGTGGTGGAAAATTTCAATATGTACAGTATTAATACTGATTCATGAGAGATAATTATTAGACAGCAGACTTTCATGCAAAATAAAAATTCTATGCATTAATTGCAAGACATATAAATTACATGGATATTTATTTTCCTTTTTAATTATTTTACCGAGTTGAAAATAATACAACACAATAATAATTATAGTTATTTTTATCAATATTTAACTCTTTTGATAAGTAAATATAAGAAAGAATAAATTTAACTATTGCTTCTATGCAAATTATTGAAGATTTATTTTGGTTTCTCCACATATTTATACAGTTGGAAAGAAAATTTTTGGTGGAGTGGTAAAATGATATTGACTGAAACTGCAATCACGTACACTTCATAATGACTTGCAAAGACCCCTCAGACTTCAATGAAATTTTCTGTAGAGTGATTTTCGTTACAAAATGATTACAAATGCTATATTTTTGAGGATTGTATCCTAGGAAATTTTTGCAAAATGTTTAAGAAGATCAAAACATGACGTTCCATAATCGGAGAAAATTACGTGTCATTATAGCATTATTTGTTGAAATTTATGGAAACAAGCATTCAATACATATTTTATGCAAAATTCACGATCAATCCTGTCCTAAACTGTTTTCAATTACAGAAAGTCGAAGAACGAAAATAAAAAGTTTGCTTACGTTTGAATAATATTTTCTTTGTCACGCAGCGCAATCCTGAGGGCGTCCAATTCTTTGTAATGATCCCTGTTTCGATGCCCAGCGGGTGACGCGATTCCGCCAGAAACGCTACCACCCTTCTTGCGTCTCGGAGTTGTCGATAAAGAAACTTCGATGCTGGCCATCTAAAAAAATAATAGATAATTATGATTTATTTTTATTGAATTTTCTTCTTACTTATTTCATTGAATTGATAAGTACCAGCTTGGAATTTATTCCTAAAATGAGTTTAGTATAAATAATACTTGCAGTATCTTTACAATCATAAAGTGGCGCGAAATACGCGGTGCTATTTTTTGAACACGTGTTATCAAATGGATTTACTTTAATGATTTCTAAACAGTTAATTCTTTTTCTTTTTAGTTTTTATTGTCATATCTATGATTTAGAAATTTTATTTTGTATTAAATTTATTTTATATTTTATTAAATTAAAAGATAATATACTGTATTACAACAGTATACAGGTATGTTGATTCCATTTCTTATGCAATATTTATTGTCATAGGTTTCATATGTATAAGTCGCTTGGGACCAAGTGCAATTAAGAAAATTAGCCAGTTTAATATTTGCAGCTAAGGAAGATTTTAAATAGAAAGAATCTATCTGTTTTTAATATTTTCAGTTGAAGTAAAGAATTTTAAATAGAAAGAATAGATTCCGTAATTCTCATCCGGCATTCAATGCAGCCAGCATTTCCAACAATTTCATTTCGTCTTTCCAGTATTATTCCTCGTTAAAAATACTGAAACTACTTCACTTTTCAGCAGTCCGTGCACCTGGAGAGCTAATGAGCTTTATTTCAGTTTGTAAAAGTACAGAATGTGGTTTCATAGAGAGCGATTATTCGTAACAGAAAGTTAGAAAGAAAAAAAAATTCGTAACGATTATACACAAACGACTTCACAGTGGCGAATTCGCAATATGCACGCACCATAAAATTCGTAAGCATGTAAGAGACGTGCATTATTTTATTTACCATTAATTAAATAAATTTGGATTACCGAAATGGAAATGGTTTTATGCAAGATATTTCAATGTTCTTTGTGCTGCAAATATTATCGTTTGAGCATTTAAATTTTATATTTCCAACGGTTGTAACCGCATCGCGAGAATTGGGATTTTAATTGTACATATAAATAATATACAATTAGAATTTTAACTGTACATGTAAATAGTACATAATTGGAATTTTAACTTGACATGTAAATAGCACATAATTGGAGTTTTAAGTGCACATGTAAATAGTACATCGTTGGAGTTTTAATTTTCATGTGAATAGTACATGATTGTAATTTTAATTGTACGTAATATACGTATAATATATATAATACGTATAAATAATTATACGTAAACTATTTTTTTATATTTATGGTTTTAACAATTTGGTTTCCTTGAATTTCTATTAATAAGAATAAAAAGATAGAATTATGCACATTTACGAAATATGTGATTTACGGTTTATCGATATTTTGTCAGCATGATACATTTATGCAAATTTTAATTTTATGCATTGACAGTAATTGGTATACAGTTACTCCTTGCGCAAATATCATTATTCATATTAACTGTCTATTTTGTTCACTTAATTTCTATATTTATAGCGCTCTACCGAAAATCTGACAATTTCCAAAAATGACTTAAAAATTGATCAATTTACAATTGTGCTGTAACATATGGTGGAAAAGTGCAATGTAAAATTGATTTGCACGCTTATCTTACACAAGAGTCGGTTCAAATATCTATTACAATGCCGTATGAATTCGAACATAATATTAGAGTTAAACAATGGTTAAGTAAAATAGGACATAAACAATTTGATATTTTCGGACTTAAAAAATAATTTCACAACTATTATTAAATAGTTCTTACATTATAAAACATGCAATATTCACATTTATAAGTATTATATATGTATATGAGTTATCCTAAAAAGTTATGCAGAAAAACCAACATTCAATACTTCATATGTATTCCCAACTTGATATTTTCCTTCATTTCAAATTGACACAATAACAGAAAATCAATGTTATGGAAAGATTAATAATTAACTTTAAAAATTCC